TAAAGATAAATTACTATTTGATATATCCTTATTATAATTTAGAGCGAAAAATAAATATTTCGTGTGGAGATGTCTAAAGTAGGATATCAACAAATTGAATTTGTCGTTCATCTATCATTAACGTTGAACGACGTCTCCACGTGCAAGAAGACTCAGATAGTGCTTACGATACTATCGAGTATTGTTCATTTTATCTTATTAAATTAAATATAAATCGCGGCGGCCGTTCAAGTCATTATTTTCCTAGTTTACTACAAGCTTGTTGAAAGTTTGGAACTTAGACGAACGCCTAGTTCGTACAAATCGTAAGCCAACTGTCCTTCATGTCCAGATACGAGTTTTCAACAAAAAGCTTCAACAAAGATCAATTCAATTTCAATTTTTTTTAAGCTCTAAAATCCATTTTTCTCTCTGGGTTTCTCTCTGTTTCTCTACTGTGCTCCGATATCCTCTTTGATTGGTTATTGGGAAAAAAATTCACTCATAATAATCCAACTTAAAATTTATCTGGATAAATTTTAAAATTATTAAATTAATTTAAAAATTAATGTATATAACAACTAATTCCATTCTCCTAAGACCCATTCTCCAGCAACTTTTTGAATATGTATTTTCTTCTCACGAAATGCAGAGTCTTGCTAAAAATATGGGTTTTGTATGATAGAATATTTGGTTCTTCGTCTTGCAACACTATCACTATTTGTCATAAAATTAAGATGGTTGTATTCTCAAAAATATGCAAGTGGAAAAATGGGGAGAGGTATTTGGGTAGTTTTCATTGAGAGGTGGAAACATTAGTCTGGGTGTCGATGATTTGAGATTTTGCAATACTTTTCTGGGTTGGCTATTGTTCAGAGCAGAAGTTCCTACTTGTTCATTTTGATGTGCTTGACCCTTCGGTGCAAGTTTTTAGTATGGTTGAAAATTTACGATCTAGCCCTTGATGATGATGATGATGATGTAATTTTTCCAACACTTCGAATGGCCTATGAGCAACTAGGGGATATCTGTTAAGGTGAATTTTTGAAGTAGATTGATTATTCCAAATTCTACATACAAAAATTTGAATTAATTTTTTTCCATGAGTACGTAAGTTTGGTGAATAGCGATTATGCGCTCTGCTAGGGTTAGGGATTTTGGGGCGATTCTGTCGTGCTCCTCTCTGGCTGTGTTTCTTTTCTTAGGGAAGTAATCTTTTCATTCCCTTTGTGTCTTCTGCTCTTGATGGCTGGCAATCGTCTTCTTGATGCATGGTGGTTTTCTGGATGGTAAACCCTCGTCTAAATCGTTTCGGGATGCGCAATCCGGTAAGGTCTCCCCTTTCTTTGAACTTAAAATCTCCTCTCACCGTGGGCTTCCCTCGTTATGGACTGGGTTTCTCTCTGTATCTCTACTGTGCTCCGATATCCTCTTTGATTGGTTATTGGGAAAAAAATTCACTCATAATAATCGAACTTAAAATTTATCTGGATAAAATTTAAAATTATTAAATTAATTTAAAAATTAATGTATATAACAACTAATTCCATTCTCCTAAGACCCATTCTCCAGCAACTTTTTGAATGGATCAATGACAGTAGCTTCCTAATGCCATTTGCTAAAAATATGTATTTTCTTATCACGAAATGCAGAGTCTATTACATATGAAAGGAAAGGAATGATATAAGATTTGGTTCTTCGTCTTGCAACGCTACCACTATTTGTCATAATATTAAGAGGGTTGTATTCTAAAAAATATGCAAGTGAAAAAATGGGGAGAGGTATTTGGGTAGTTTTCATTGAGAGGTGGAAACATTAGTCTGGATGTCGATGATTTGAGATTTTGCAATACTTTTCTGGGTTGGCTATTGTTCAGAGCAGAAGTTCCTACTTGTTCATTTTGATGTGCTTGACCCTTCGGTGCAAGTTTTTAGTATGGTTGAAAATTTACGATCTAGCCCTTGATGATGATGATGATGATGTAATTTTCCCAACACTTCGAATGGCCTATGAGCAACTAGGGGATATCTGTCAAGGTGAATTTTTGAAGTAGATTGATTATTCCAAATTCTACATACAAAAATTTGAATTAATTTTTTTCCATGAGTAAGTTTGGTGAATAGCGATTATGCGCTCTGCTAGAGTTAGGGATTTTGGGGCGATTCCGTCGTGCTCCTCTCTGGCTGCGTTTCTTTTCTTAGGGAAGTAATCTTTTCATTCCTTTTGTGTCTTCTGCTCTTGATGGCTGGCAATCGTCTTCTTGATGCATGGTGGTTTTCTGGATGGTAAACCCTCGTCTAAATCGTTTCGGGATGCGCAATCCGGTAAGGTCTCCCCTTTCTTTGAACTTAAAATCTCCTCTCACCGTGGGCTTCCCTCGTTATGGATTTATGAGGAGGAAATCTTATCACTTGCTACTCCATTCGATTTTGCATTGGTAGGGAAGTTTTCGACCAACAGGTCGTCCCTTGAGGCGATTCAAAAAAAAAAAAAATCTAAAACTCAATGGTGATTTCTCTATTATGGTTTTGAATCCGAAAAACATTGTGATCAAATTAGGGAATGACTTGGATTATTGCTGTGTTTTTGCTAATCGTTCTAATTTCGTGAACAATTGTTACATGCGTTTGATTAAATGTTGTCTCCTTCTTTTGACGTGGATGTTGAATCCCCTATAATCCCTATTTGGTTGACTTTCTATAATTTAAGACCTCACTTCTTTACGCCGAGAATTCTTCAGGGTCTCGGCTCTATCTTCGGTCGCCCCCTTAAACTCGATCACGCTACTTTCTCTGGTTCTCGACCCTCGGTTGCTCAAGTTTTGGTGGAATTGGATGTCTCTAAGCAGTATCTTGACAAAATTTGGGTTGGTCCGGACAATATGGTATGTTCAGTCGGTTACTTTGGAGGATTTGCCTTTGTATTGCTTGCATTGTAAATCTTTAGGTCATTCCAAATCGGAATGTTGTATATTGCATCCGCAGTTATCTCATTCTCATTTGCATAAGGACATTCCTTCTGTCCTTGTACCGGAGTTAGGGAATGATACTATTATTAATTCGAGTCCTACTCTCCCTGCCCTGTCTCCAGTGGCTTTACCGTCTGCGAATCTGGATGTTATTTTTCCTTCCACTGATGTGCCATCTATGAAGGTGGGGAATTGCTCTAATGCTGTGGCTGTGTTAGGCTGTGAACTAGTTTTGATTCCTCCTAAGGAGGTGGTTGCGTTTGTGGGAGATTTACCTGCGTTTATGTCTCCTCAGACTGTTCCTGCTGGGGTCCAAACTGAACTTGTTTTGTATCCTCCTAAGGAGGTGGTTGCTGCTGTGGGAGGTTTACAAATGTTTATGTCTCTTCAGGCGGATCCTACTATTGTTGGGCTCGAACCTGTTGTCCTAGAAACCTGTTTTTGTGCTAGTGATGTTGGTGGTGTTTTAAATTCTAAAGTTAATTTGTCTCATGTGTGTTTTTTGTCTGTCCCGTCTGGTTTTGCTGAGGCTGTTGCACTTAGTGTGCTTGTTGAGAATTTTGGTTCCTCGATTAATCTTGTTGTGCCGTCTGATGAATGCCTCCCTTCTCCCTCTATTTCTTCTATTATGGGAGCATCTGGTGGTGATGTGGCCATTAATCAGGTGGTTATTCCGGAGCAAGTGGATTTAGTTTCTAACAACGATTTTGAGGGTAATGGTAATGTGGTTAATATACCTATATTCTTTGTGTCGAATGTTAAAATGCAATATCATGTGGCTCAGTTCGTTAAAAACTCAGTTTTATTACAAAATGACAGGCTTTATTTAGAGGATGATCTTTCATCTCCTTCTAGTAGGGAAGAAGGGGACTATCTTGAACTTGAGAAAAGGCCGTTTTCCAAGTAGTGGTCGGGGTAAATTAAATGCAGAGGTAGGAAGTAATTGGGCTATTTTTTTGTTAATTACTTCCGTGGTTTTGGTGTTGATTGGACTATGATGAGAAGGCCACTGCTTCCCCTCTTTGGCTTGGCTGATTGACAACCTGGGTGTTGTGTTTGTTACTTGGTGGTCCGCTTTCTCACTTATGGATGGCCCGTGCTAGCCTCATGGTCGGTGCTGGGGGCCTCCACTCTGAGTCCCCGCTTTTGGCTTCATCCATTTGGTGTTTTGTTTTTATTGTTAATTTTGTACCTTTATTTTTGTGGCTTTGACTTGTTGTTTCTGAGCTCTTAGCCTTTATATGTTACTGTTGCACTCTTTTGTCATTTATTTGACTAAAATTTTTTATTGCAAAAAAAAAAAAAAAAAACCATGAGTAAATCTTGACCTATTTTTTTCGATCAATTTTAGATGCCAATTTTGTTATTGTTATTTTTTGCAATAGTTTTTTTAATGAACACAATTATTAATCTTGTTCTTATATTAACGATGATCCATAAGTCATCAATTACATAGCTCAAACCAATAATTTTCTCTAGTTAGACCGGAAATCTTTTCACTTTCCTGCTGATATTCTTTTTTGTAAGACTTAGGTTTCATTTGAGACGACTTTTTTACTGCTTCTTAAAGTGTCTTTTTAGTACAAAAATTTTATGACACTTTAAAAAACAGTAAAATAGCAGTCTAAAAAAAACTTTAGATTTGATTTGGGGCAACTTCTAATCCCTATGTTTTATTGCTTTTAATAAAATTTTAAGCTTAAAAACTGTTTTAAAAATTAATAAGAAAACAACACAAACGAAGCAAATAAAATCAAGTCCCATATATCCCAATCAATTGGTTCAATTTTAGCGCTGATTCCACAAATCTAAGCACCGATTTTATTGGTCACATTAATCTTAAGTTACCAACGTTTTGCTTGGGATGACTTTCTTGCTGAATTTTTAATAGAATTTTTTTTTTGGTGCTAAAAAGCAGCAAAAAGTCAGTACCAAATAAAGCTTACGATTGAAAAATAAAGTTGCAGATCAACTAACCTCATATAGAAAGCAACAAACCCATATCAAGAAATAACTAAATAAGACTTCATTGTTCTAACAAAATAGGAAACGATGAAAAACGTATAATAATGATAATAATCATAAATAACCAAACAAATTAAAAATAATTGAAAAAAAAAACTATTCAAATGTTATGAATGCTACACTGCAGATCAAAATATCAAAATACAAATGCGTATAGTTTCTTCTTTCCTTACATCCTTCTTGTTTTTTTTTTTTTCTTTTTCCCAAATTTGTTCATAAGAAAATTAGAAAAATCTAAAATTTGTTCTTATACTGCTCAATATCCAAATCCGAGCCATGTTAGGCTCTTCTCAGACTTGGCTGGCGCTTCCTCCAATTCCGACGAGCCATGAACTGAATAAGGTGCCAGGGAATTAATACTGTGCATTCAAATAAAACGGAATAATAAGGATATTTTTCAGTCATAATTTTATATTGGCATTTTATCGTAATATAATTAATAGTAAATTATTTTTACTTACAAATGCAAAAAAATAAATGATTAAGAATTTTCTACCCAACGCTGATTATTAAATTTCAAAACCTTTGTATGAACCATTCTTAGTTATGAAATTAATGACATTATTAAGATTAGTTTAAAGTTTAAACATTGTGCTAGTACTTTAAAAACGTGAAACATTTGGTTGTACTAAGATGTTGCTCATCAAGGCATCTAATAATGAATTTAAAAGATTTATTATGGTTAATAATTGTCGATGGTGCCAATCAAAATCACAATTAGGCCGACCTGACAGATTTGTGAGTATAAGAATATCAAATTTTGTTTTATTTTCACGTGGAGAAACATAAAAATCTAGCAACTACACTCAAGCTTCAGGTTTTGTGTGAGACAGCTTTTTTTATTTTTTCTTAAAATAATTTTTAGTACAAATTTCTTCTTAAAGTAGCTTTTTAGTACAAATTTTTTTAATTTTTATACTAAAAAATTATTTTAAAAAGTAATAAAAAAATCATCCCAAATAAAGTCTTAATACACGCTAAATTTTTTATAAAAAAATATATTTCCATTGTCAAATTATACAACGTACCGATCCTTTCTCTTCTCAAGGAATCTATGAAGAGAAGCCCTCCTTGCTATGGGCATTGTCAGATCAACTGCACAAAAAAAATAAAATTCATATCAGCTTCAGGAACCCAAAAAAATCAATGAATTAAATTAAAAACCTGCTTGGATTACTTCTAATTTTTATTTAAATATATTGATTTGATATATTTTTTATTTTTAAAATAAATCAATTTCTTTTTAAAAATACACAAAATAATTTTGAGATATTATTTGTATTTCAAAAAAAAAAAAAATTGCTACTTGCCGGCCACCACCGCAAACCATCGACATTCAATAAAAAATTAAGATATTAATTAACTTTATTTTAAAACTAAATATAAATAAAGTAAAATAAAAAAAAAATAAAAATAAAATAAAAAACAAAAGTGAACCTAAACCCCCAAAGATAATTTACACATAAAATTTAAATTAATGCACACGCTTAAACAACTATTCCAATATCCAACTTCTATGTCACATGGCATTATTAATTTGACCTAACAGATATTATAATACAAAAAATAGTCTAATTAGAAAGCGAACAACTAACATATTAGCATTTGATTAATCAGGAGGCATATATTATGCTTCTTTATAAAAATTAAAAATTGATAAAATAATTTTGAATTTCTTACCAGGAGCACTTGGGTCGGGTTGCAATGATCGAGCCGGGCCAGAGTTTGGACGGACGGATTTGCTCGCCATCTCCATCAAGTCCTGAGCTTTATTCGCCGGGAAATTGTCAAAAACCATCACTTTTCCATCGTAAAATATTGTTAATTGGCCACTTATCTCGTCCTCCCTAACATAATAATAATAATAAGTAAATAAAAACTTTCATAAACAATAAATTTAGAAAAATCAATATAGATTTAATTACAAGTAAAAAAAAAAAGGAAAAGAAATTAAGATATATATATAGTACTTTTGATCAGCTCTGCTTGGAGCTTTGAGGATGGCATCTTTGTCTTGGAGTTGTGGAGAGGCATCCATTGGCATCGTAACACTTTGTTCCGAAACATCCGGTTCGTATCGGTTTCCGGCCGATACGTCTGATCCGGGAAACAGATTCATGGTGGTTGGCGGCCGAAATAAGTCTGTTATATCAAAAGAAAACACTTTTTTACTTTTTTAGTTTATATACTAAACATGAGAAGGATAAATTATTCTGTATGGAGTATGGACACAAAATTATATTAAGAGATCAATCAGAATACTTTACGTCAGCGGTGCCGAGTGATATCGAGCAATATATAGCTGCAGTATCAAACAAATTGGTGACGTGACATATTCTGATTGTTCTCTGGACGACATTCGGGATCCGCATAGAATAATTAATCCATAAGAAATAGAGGAATCTCCCTCTATCTCTCTAGAGAGAGAGAACAAGATGAATTTTTATATCTTAACAAATAAAATAATATTCGCCTAATTTTGTTTTACATGTAACACCTTGAAGAATTTTTTTTTTAATTCAAAATTATATTATTGACTAATATCTGTAAAAAAATTATGTCAATTTATATATATTTTAATAATCTATCAAAAAATATAAATAATCGGATAGAATATATAAAAAAAAATTGAAGGGTAGATTAATTTATAATTTCCAATAAATATAATATTTTATCAATAACTACGATTAAAAAATCTGAATTATTTTATCGTACAATTAGAATAACTCATTATAATTAACCGCATTTAATTATGAATAAGATGTATTAAATATTCTCGACATCTTTGCTAAAAATTAGATGGCATTATTGTAAAAATTTATAAACTGAATCTACAAATAATTATTAAGTAGAACACAAATAATTATACCATTTTGAGTTTGAAGTCTATTAAAGGCTGTAAATGTCTAACCCAAAAGAAAACTAATAATTCTCATTTTACACTTCTAAGAGTACCAAAATCCATCTCCTTTTTACTTATAGAAAGGCCGTTTACTTCTCAAATAGTCAAATTGCTCCCGTTAAATGACTAAGATTTCTAATTCTCTTACTGTTTTCTATAACAGTTTTTTGATATAAAAATTTTAATTTTTATATTAAAAAATAGCTTCAATAAGTATTAAGAATGCCAGTCCGGCTTCGTTTGGGACAATTTTTTTACTGCTTCTTGAAATTAGAAGTTTTATGCTAAAAAATTATTTAATTTTTGTATAAAAAATTGATTTAAGAAAGAAGATATATACCAATCAAGGAGTATATATGTACAAACAGGGATAATTTTCTTTCGAAAAACAAAAAAAATAGGAGAATCCATTTGTTCACTTGGAATAATAAAATGACTCCAATGTTAGAGTATAGCTAAATTTATTTTTTTCAAAGGTAAAAAATACCAATTCCAAACAAACTAAACTTTGCAAAAATAAAGGAAAGGCAGTAAATGAAATGAGACAGAAAGCTATGGAGCTTCAACGTGACTATCATCCCAATTCTCAATCCTCAACCGAAAGAGCTTATCAATGCATGACAAGCAAAAAAAAACTGAAGGAAAACCTTAAAATTCTGCCATGTTTAAAGAAAAATCTCACTTTTTTCCTTCTCCTGCAGCGAGCAATGAAGCTTCTCAATCCCAAGTTCTCCCAAATTCCGGTTCTCCTTTAGATACTGGCTTAGCAGATTGCATGTCATTGCGAAGCTTGATCTCTCCCCTGCTTTCCTCTGCTTCTCCTCCATTTCTCAATCTCTTTTTTTCTTTCTCCAAATTCCCAAATTCTCTTAAAGCTGTTGAAGTAATTCCTCCTTTGAGCCTTTTTAAATATGTTTTATTCTCTCCTTTTCTTCAAAGCAACCTCCTTTCACCTTTGGCTCATCTCTTCTTCCGCCTCTTTGTCTTTATAGACTTTATTCTAATCTTTGAAAAAGAAAAAAAAAAGGAAGAAAATTGGAGCGGAGATGAGAAGAGGAGTCCCGACTCCCGAGGTGGGATTTGAATTTTAAAGCACGTGAATCATTTGTATTGAAGGAAGGGTGGGTAGGAAATTGATTGAAGGAAAGAAACACGTGGTCGGTTTCGAAGACCGAGCCCGGTTCGTATATCGCAGGCTTCAGTACAATTTCTCTCAGGACTGAAGGAGAAGACTATTCCTGCCTTCCCATCAATTTGCTGGACTAGACGTTTTTTTAGGCACCCAAAATCTTGACAGCATACTTTGACCCCGCGAAGATGGACCGGGTCTGTTCGCATAAAATGACTCGGTCAATTCAACCAATAAATGGACACCTAATATATATATATATATAATTACATCAAAATGTTTGATATAAGGGGATTTGCATCAACTTTATTTCATGTTATTTATATATCTAATACTTAAAACTTTAATATTATATGTCTATCATTCATATAATAAATATGAGTGCATTGTGTTAGATAATAAAACCACATCTTAAATTTGTATTTTCTTACTTTATTGTTTCGGTATATAAGCCATGTATTTGTATTAGTTCACATCAAGAAAAATATATTTTCTCCATTCACTTTCGATGGCTTTCGTTTCTATACCTTTCTACATGGTATCAGACACCAGTTCAGTTCCTATTTTCCGCTCCTCCATCGTGCTGATCTTCTCTTCTTTCATTTCAATGACTTCATCCACCACCTCGACTCCCGTCGATGTACCTCCGACGTACCTTCCCACCATCACTATTCCACCCCAACTCAAGTTTCTTATGAGCAATATCAAAAAGTAATTCAGACCCTTCGCTTCTCTTATACCAAAAAGATACGATTCGATCCTTTCTTATTTATGTTGATGACATAATTATTACGGGTAATAACCCTGTTTTCCTACAGGAATTACGTTTTAAATTGAATCAACGCTTCAACATGAAGGATCTAGGCACACTCTCTCAATTTCTTGGCCTACAGTGCTCTAAAACAGATTACGGATTACATCTCTCTCAATCCCGTTACGCCAAAATCATTTTTGAACGCGCTGGAATGACGAATTGCAAATCCGTGGTCACCCCAACATCTGTGAAATCTGCTAAGATAAGTTCTCCCTCTCCTGATTTTCACAATCCATCTCTTTTTCGTCAATTAGTAGGATCCTTACAATATTTAACTCTTACCCGACCAGATATCACGTATGCCGTTAACAAAGTCAGCCAACATATGCATCAACCGTCCGAGAAGCATTTCGAAGATCTCAAAAGAATTTTGCGCTATATTCATGGATCTCTACATATCGGTCTTCCACTCTACAGCAACAGCATCACTCTCACCGCTTACGTAGACTCCGATTGGGACGGTGAACAATCTGATCGGAAATCTACATCCGGGTATTGCATGTTCTTCGGAAACACTCTCACCTCCTGGAGTGTCAAGAAGCAGGCCACCGTTGCTCGCTCATCGACTGAGGCAGAATATTGAGCGTTGGCTTCTGCTAGCTGCAACCGAAATCCTTTGGTTGCGACAACTTCTTCAAGAACTTGGCTGTCCACAAAAACTTCAGACTACTTTATATTGTGACAATACTTCTGCAATTGCTCTTGGCATAATCTCATCTTACATGCCCGGACAAACACATTGAAATCGATGGTCATTTCATTCGCGAATGCATTTAGAATAAATCAATTCAGGTGCATCATATTTCAAGCAAAGATCAAATTGCATACTTCTTCACGAAATCTCTATCGGCAGCTCATTTTAAGTATTTACTCAACAAACTGATGTCATCTAACGACTCATCAGTTTGCACGGGGGTGTTAGATAATAAAACCACATCTTAAATTTGTATTTTCTTACTTTATTGTTTCGGTATATAAGCCATGTATTTGTATTAGTTCACATCAAGAAAAATATATTTTCTCCATTCACTTTCGATGGCTTTCGTTTCTATACCTTTCTACACATTGAATGAAATATTAAAGTTTATAGGTTGTGTGAGTGATAAGAATGAAATATAGGAGTGATATATTTGAAATTAAAATTTACACTAACGATATGAATATAATATTAAAGTTTTAGGTGTTTGATATTTAAGTAGCATCTAATAGTGATATGTATGTAAATTCCCCTTGATATAATTACTAATTAGGAGGCACGAATTACAAAGTCTCGAGCCTTTCAAGAATTGCATTGCTCAGTATCAACTCCAATTCATCAATTGGTTGGCAAGCATATTTCACTATCCTTACATCTTTTTCACTTCTGATGATACTTGTTGTTTTTCCATAAAAAATCTTTTAAATTGCCTAGTGGTGAAGGCAACATCACCGTTTTCATGGAAGAATTAGTGTCCATGTTGTTGGCTTTTAGTGCCATAGTTTTCTCCTTATTTTCTCACTTGCATCAAGATTTGTTTGATTCATCCCATGCTCATAAGCAATGAGTGATCCAAGTAAATTATCAATATAATAAGTATTTAAATTTTTAGATTTAGTAATTGCAGTGATCTTAACATCAAAAGAAGAAGACAAGCTTCTCAAAATTTTATTGACCCTTTCATAATTAGTTAGCTCTCTTCTGAAAGCATGCAATGAGGTGACTATTTGAGTAAACCTTGTATACATGTTAGAAATTGATTCAGAAGGTTTCATACAAAAATATTCAATCGAGATTACTTAATTTCATTTGTTCCTTCATAAGTAATATACAATCTATCACAAATTTCTTTACTAGTAGCACAAGTTGAAACACGTATGTAGTCTTTAGATTTTAAAGCAAAAAAAAAAAAAAGTTTAAATATTTTGCATTAAGTTGTGCTAAATCCCTATCATCAAAAGTTCATTCAGTAAAAGAAAGTTCAATTTTATTGCCATTAATTTCATGTGAATGAGATGAACATCCTCCTTTAACAAGCATCCACATGTGATAGTCTATTGATTGTAAAAATATAGACATGCGAGTGGGTTATCATCTCATATTCTCATTAATTGTTCATCAACATCAAGAGGTGGATGAAAGTGTTACATTATAATAAACTTAATTAATAATTATATTACACTGAAATTAAAATTATATATAATATTAAAAAAATTCATTAATTTGAACATAAATTAAAAAATTGTTACATTTGGCCTGATGTAAATAAGGCCAGAACAGTTTAAAAGAAAAATATTCCTAATCTTTGAGTTTGAGCTGAGCTCTTTTGATCTGTATATCAGACCTGAAATGTGGCATCAACTTGGTTTGGATCGGGCATATTAAAGCAGAGCGTGATTCATGCGGCTTCTTTAAATTGATTTGAATATAGAGATGTGAGGTGGTTGAGATATGCCATGAGAATTTATGTTTCATTCACTTTTAGCCCATTTGATAGTACTGTTGATTGGTTTTGTTGATAAAGCCAAGCATACAATTATCGATCACATTTTGATTTATTAGTGAAGGCATAGGATAAACGTGAATCGTTATTTTTGTATGGAGAGAGAGAGAGAAGAGAATGAAGTAAAGAAAAGGAGGATTGAATACCAACTATTATTGATGGCATTGACATCTCACTTGGATTGTGATACAAAAGAGTGCAGGCTTTCTAAAAGAGAAATTATTCTGTGTGGATGCTGGACTCAGCTCTATGTTTGGCGGCAAATCAGGTGCAACCACGTCAGCGATACCGAGCCGCGATGACGAGTGGTACCGAGCAGTACTAAGCCGCGGTACACAGCGAATGAGTGATGTGACATATTCTAGTTGGTCTTCAGATGACATTCGACTTCCGCACATAATAATTAATCCCTGGAAGGAGCTCAGAGGCATGCATAAGTGAGTGAAATATAGATGCTTAATCTTACAATGGTGACTAAAATATATGATCGAAGAGAATTTAAATGAGGATAAATTTTAGAAAGGATCACGATTAAAGATTAATTTAAGAAAAGGAATATGATTATTATTATTATTATTATTTTGAAAAGATCATACATACAAAAAGATTTTTTTTTCCGCTAAAAAAAAAAAGAGAAGAAAAACATAAAATATTTTAATGGAAAATGCAAAATCTTTTTGCGTGAATGGTCATTTTTTATTTTATTTTTAATTATGCTCCTCCTAAATTAATCTTTAATCGTGATCCTTTCTAAAATTTGTCCTTTACATGAAAAACTCATACATTATTATTATTGGTACATAAAACTGTTAAATTGAGTGTCATCATAAAGTTTAGAGAATAGATGATAATTATTTGTTTTATATATGGCATTAGAAAATTAAGTATAATTGTCAAGTCATTCTTATTATTTTGTGTTGAGATGGCAAACATTATTGATTTTATTCTCATCAATATTGAGAGGACTATAAACATTAAGGATTAAACTTATCCGTGTAATGGTGAGAATCAATAGGTTGCCAAAATATCTATAATTTTTTTAAAAAAAATTTTGGGATAAAACTCACATAGGCCTATGCGTTAATTAGTAAAATGGAGATTACAACTCCTTAAAGGATAGACAGCTCCCTAAAAATGCAACAATCAAAGAAAAAACTACGAGCCATCAATCCAATCTATTACAATAATTAGTCGGGCCGCTCGCTTGAATGCCGAGTCTTCCTCCTCAAGGCCAATGCAACACAACAGTGAGATCCAAAGAAAAACAAGGACCAAACAGAACCAGAGAAGCCAAAGCCACGCCAATGCAACCACCAAAGTTGCAAGTTGAATGAGATGAAGCCAACAAAATGATGTCTATCAAGTCTCATAATGGACAAGAGGATCTAATAGGAAATAAGAGAAACTATCATTAAAGATGAATTATAATCTAATTGAATTAGCAAGAAAGGGAGCCCGAGGGAGGATAGTGTTATGGTAAAAAGAATAGATGGTGAAGGCATTCGTGGGCGCCAATCTTTGACGGTGAACCATATATTAATGAAAAAAGTGTTAAATTTTAAATCATGAGATAATGTAATAAGCATCATGCATATTGCATTTGGTTAAAGATCTTTTGAATAAAGAATCAATAACATATTTACTTGACCCTCTAGATATACTAAAATTTACTATGATTGATAATCATAACTCCATAAGGATCATCTTGCACTAATCATTTCATATTGATTTAATGAACAATTAACTATTTTTATATTGCTCTTAGTTCGATGAATAAACTCGATAATTATTCATGAATAAGAGCTAAATCATACTTAATTATTCAAATCAATTGGTTTAAGCACCACTTTTTCATTAATAAAATCTTAAATATTTTCAATTATTGCGATTAATTATAATTCCAAATTTTCTTTTGAGAATGACTGTACATATAGTATGAATACTCGAGCCTGCATATAAATTTTGAGCAATCACAATTCACAAATAAAACAACTTAATCATCTTCAGGACCTAAATTACAAAAAATATAAAAAAGAAGCAAAAAATAGCTCCGTCAATTTCTCAGATATTTTTTTAAGAATGCTTTCAATTACCTTCTTGCCTATTCATAGTGTATGATTTTTCTTTGTTGTGTGAGTCAATGGTTGTGACCCTACTTAATATTTATGTGTATTAAATAAGGAGAAGTCAAATTTAAAAAAAAAAAAAAAAAAAACAACAAAAACTTTTCATAACAAACAAAGTCTATGGAGAGTAAAGTTTTTTTTTTTTAATTTAATTTATTTATGCCAAAGCATAATTTCATATGAGAAAAATCTTATTTAATATTTCGAGAAGAATTTTAAAAAAATTTATTAACTAAATTAGCTAGGTATCACAGTCGAGCTAACATTCTAAAGGAAAATTATAGTGAAATTAGAAAAAAAGGGCGAGAACAAAAAAAAATAAAATTGAAGTGAGATATTTCTACTCTATATGTATCAATCAATTTTATTATTATTAAACACTAACACCTATGACCTATCTATAATATGTGTGCAAAATCTTCTTAGAATAGTCATCTCATATTAAAAATAAAATCATTTGACCACATAAGCATATTACCAAATCATAAGTATGATAAATAATCGGACATCAATTTTTGTTCATATATCAAATAAGCACATAAGTAATATAATATAAGATCTAAGATGATAGACATCTTTAAGAGTCTAGAGTTTCTAATATTGATCTATTATGACATACAAACATTATGAGCAAGTATACAATTTGCCCATCACAAATTTTTAGTCTTTAAAAAATTATTTGTTACTTTTGATAAAATTGAAAATGCAAAGAAAATATATTAAAACAAAATTGCACTTCTACTACAAAATAATGACTAGAAATTTAAAATCAAGATAAAGCATTAAATTAATGGATAATACAAATGACATATATAAACCATATAAAAATAATGCTAAAATATTTATATGCTTCCTTAAATAATTACCTTTTGACTAATTATAAGAGGAATATATGAAAGCCTAAAATTCTGATTTATCAAATTTAATTAAGTTTTACATATAATGGTCAAACCACACATAAATTTAATTAAGTTTTAATTTTCCATATGAATTATCTACCTATAAATTCAATCAAATAGATAGAGTTTTGAATTCCATATTTTTTCTTTAGGAGTTATCATGAATAAACCAATGGTTATGTTAACAAAATTTGATTTTCTAAACATGTTTGCTTATGAATATGTAAGTCAAGAAAGAAAAAAATTAAAATAAGAAGTAGTTATCCATTTGATTTATAGATATAGAGATAACTTTGATAGATATTACATTAGAGGTTATATTGTTAGATAATTCAATTGATTTTTTCAATTTCAATGTGCATGATTTGTTCAATTTTAAAATTAATTAGTGATTCATGCTTCGTTTGGGACAACTTTTTTATTGCTTTCTAAAACTATTTTCTTATATAAGATTTTTAATTTAATTTTTTTATATATTTAAAAATGCTAGGGCGTCCCCTGGAAGCGACGCGCTGTATGGCCTGAATACAGTGACAAGTGTGCAAGGGCCGCTGCACCGGCGCCCGGGTGCAGTGTTAAATAGGCAAGGGTTCCCGCATCAAGGACGGATGTGGGGTTGTATATATTTAAAAATTGTTTTAAATAGCAACAAAAAAACTATCTCAAACGAAGCCTCTGACTTCATTCAATGTACATGTTTTGTTCAATTTTAAAATTAATTAGTGATTCAGACTCTATTCAAGCTTTGAATTTTTTTTTTTTTCAATTTCAGATACTACTGTTGCTGTGTTTGGCAGATTTAGGCTTAGTTTGGGATGACTTTCTCGCTGCTTCTTGAAGCAGCTTTCTAGTACAAAAAATTTATTTTTTGCATTAAAAAGCTACTTTAAGAAACATCAAGGAAGCCGTCCCAAACAAAGCCTTAATGATTTTCCTTGGATATGATAATCATAGCTGCTTTAGATAGGGGATATCAACAGTATTTCTCAGATTAATCTAATGATTTTTAGAGAAATAATACATACTTAATTGCCTGCTTAAGATCATTATTGAAAGAGATGTTTGTGACTAAATAATCTTTGGAATCTTAAACAAACAATATTTAGCTATAAGACCTTGAAATTTAAAGAAATATTCAAACATATTGTAATCATAAGGTTTAAACTACTTAAATATAACAAAATATTCTTTAAGTTTATGTAAATTCTTTTTCCACAGTAACACTGCCAAAATATTTGAACAAATCACATGAATTTTATTTCAACAAATCAACTCTGTTGATCAAACACATTCTATCTTCCAAAGTATTTATAAAATTGCATGAAATCTTAGTGAAAAATGACTTATTATCTACTTTTTCATAACTTAATAATTATTCTCTACTTTGCTGAAAATTGAAAACATAAAAGACATTAATTCATAAGAAAATAAAATGGCCCTTCTACTTCAAATAATATGCAGAAATCCATAATGAAGAAATTTCATGCACTTACTGAAAAATAGAATTAAATTGATTTTTTTTGTACATTAATCAAATTCTTATTTACAATCACAAACTCTCATGCAATTTTCTCGCTTGCCCTGAACCAAATAGAAAATGCGTACAGCTGCAGCAATTAATTGAGAAAGCATCAGCTTAAGAAGAAAGACTGCCAGAAACCAGCCGCAAGTTTCGTCCAACGGAGAAGCCACCAAACATAACCAAAGGCCATATAAGTCTTTGAAGGAGGCTCACGTGTCAATCTAGATAATAAGAAAATACATTTTATTAATTTTATTGTGCAGGAGAATTCTCTGTAAGAAAGTTTTTTTTTTTTGTCAGCATGCATATATGGAAAAATTATTATGTGCGGAGACCGGACGCAGAATGCCGTCCAGAGACCAACCAGAATGCGTCAGCGGTACCGGACCGAGCAGTACTGAACCACGGTACCAAGCGAAGAGGTGATGTGACGCATTTTGGTTGGTCTCCAGACAACGTTCGGCGTCCGCACAAAATAATTTTAGAATATTAAATAAAAGTACAAAAGCATATCTACACATGCATGCTCGCCTCTCTCTCTCTCTCTCTCTCTCTCTCTAATGCATTAGATGAATAACTCGAATTCGGCTCCATTAACACTCATATAAGTTCATTAAAGTTGTTAATTAGGCTACATTCATGAACAATTAATTTATTTTGAACAAACAACTTGCTACAAATTTGATATTAAGCTCAATGGCCACTCATATATAATTCAATTACATTTATTTAGATATAACTTCTATAATAAGAACATCTTATTTATTTATTTATCAGGTTAGATTAATTTCTGACTATTATTTCTATTTTTGACATATAATTACTCACTTTCATCACTTTCAATCTCCATTATCCAATCACCCAATGATGCGACAGTTGTGTGGCATGAGCACAACCTGCATCAGATTAGAAGCCTTTGAATGTAAGCTCATATTCTAGTTAGCTCATCAATGGTTGATACATCAGTGAGTGTGATCTATTCATCTTAGCGCTCAACACAACCTCAACAAGTTTGTATGAGCATGCAACATGAGAATAAGAGATGTGCACATCTCCTTTTTCTTAGCTCAGATTTGTTTTAAGCCATCAATACATTTTTCTTCAACACAACATTGACACATTCACTAAAAATGGGTATTTAATTATTTATCACTACAAGTTGTAGCAGCAGCAGCTAAGCCGCTATTGTAACTACTCGTTCCCCAACGGTTTTAACCGGTATTTTCGTTTGTCTACTTACCTCAGTCGCCCGCTCGGTTCAATAGATGACTGAACGTGAATGAAACTCACCTTCCTCCGTTATCCCCAAAAACGAAAGCCCTAGAGTGTTTGTTCTCCACACAGATCATCTCGCGCGCACCGACGTCGAAGTCCTCGCACATTTCCTATTTCATTGCTAGCTCAAGGTCTTAAAAAATGTCGTCGCTGCGGATTTGAAGTTGCACCGATCTCTTCTTCTTCGTCTCCGAGCAATCTTCAAGCAACTAATTGGTAAGGATTTTATGAGGTTTTTAAAAGTTATTTTTCAAGGATAATTAAGTATTTGACGCAACTTTGATGCTCATTCGGGTGAGATTGGTGATGGGAGAGAAGATCATGTGGGTGTCGTCGGGTTGTGGGGATGTGGGAACCAGTGTGGCAAATTTTTTTTTTTTGGGGGAATTTTAGGGCGAAGCCCGTATATTAATGAAAAATGATTACAAGAACAACTATACCCTTACAAAGAAGGGGCAAAAAACAACCAAAAATTACAAGAGAAGAAACGAAAAACCAAAAAAGGGGGGCAAACAAGGCCCTGGACTCGGGAGATTAGGAACTAACAGCATAAACATAAAGCTTAAAAAACATCAGAAAGACTGGTCAATCGAAGAGGCCACTCTTCCCTGGTTCCTACAAATCATCCCGCAAGCCAAAAAGCAGAGCCAAACAAGCCAACAAAACCAAAACCGAGCAGGCAATTCAAAAACTCAACCATATCTCAGTAGGCACTGAAACAAGAAGGAAAGGAAACTTGAAGCAGGTCAAAATTCTTCCTAGTTTTAGCATGAATTGCATATCTAATCTTCCTAATGGTGACAGAAACCAAAACATCAAAGGTAGCAAAACGTCTGTCATTACGAGCCCGCCACAGATGGTAAACGGCACAACAGTCAACAAAGAACCCAAAATTCTTCTCAAAAGTATGAAGTTGCAGCTTCTCATCAAAAAATTCAAAGACCTGCAGGAGAGTAGGCATGGGCAGGAAGTTCTGGAGGGAGGGGAGAAGAGCTGAAATAATCTTAAAAGAATATTCGCATTGAAAGAAACAGTGAGAAATGCTTTCATCCCCATTCCTGCATAACGGGCACAATGAAAGGATCACAATATTTCTTTTAGCTAGGACATCAGCCGTTTTAAGTCCACCTAACATGGCCAACCAAACAAAAGAAGAATAACGCAGAGCATAGTGCCGGGGCACACAAATTTTAACCAAGGAACCTTAATGGTATCAGCATAAAACTGCATATAGAAAGTTTTAAAGCAAGGCTTATCAATGCCAATCCAGGAAATAGGGGTTTGGGGTTGGTGATAAATTTGTATAGAGGAAATACGGTCCAAGGCTAAATGGCCAAACTGAGCAGGCAAAGACCAACCACCCGCAGAGATAAAATCCTTGACCGCCAAACCAGAAGAAAAAGGAGGCTGTATGAGATCAGAGACAGCACAGCCATCACACCAAGGATCCCAAAACATCAATATATTACAATTGTCACTAGCAACATGAAACCTAATAAACCCTTTAATCCTATAAGAAGCGAGACAAATGGATTTCCAAAATTTAGAGGCCTTAGGATGAGAAGTTTTCCAAGGGGAGATAAATTTAGACTTAAACCATCTCGTCAGTGTGGCAAGTTGGTTCCTTAGTTCGTTCCCGGTTCTATTTTGCATAAATCGAGAAATGGTCCAAAACTTTTTGCCATTTCCAGTAATTTTTTTTTTAAGCGACGAAAGCCCTAAAAAGCTCAATCAGAATAATCTTACTTAGTCTTTCCTTGAAAAACCAAGAGTTCAATCAAAATCTTTGTGATGCCCCAGATATCAATAGTGAAAGGATTCGTCTGACATTCTGATCGAACTCCATTCCAGTTGCCTTGCTCGGACCTGAAAATTTTAACCACATATAATGAGCTTACAAAGTCCAGCAGGTCACCAAAGCCTACAACTGAAATCAAAGCACGGCGATGCTATCAATATGCAGGTCAAGGGTAACCAATCTTTTTTGTTGCAGTGATCGAAGTGTCATAAGTTTCATCTCCATGTTTTCTGTTCCACACAAATTTAATCTCTTTAGAGATTGCAGAGTGAGTTCACCTTAATTTTTTTGCCTTACAGGTTTTTATTGAGTTCTCTTGTTTTGCTTTAGTTAATTGCTAAATTTGCAATTTGGTGAACTTTTGATGTTACTAAAACATCCAGAAAAGAGGATGGAACGGTTTACATTATTTATGGTCATTCCTGTTGAGCTTTAGTTTATAACATTTACACACACAGATATATATATATATATATATATTCTTTTCATTATTTCATTTACAAAATTGCATTGCCATGATTTGATAAACTTAATTTTTTTTTTGTAAATTGTTAATTTAGTATTAGACTCAGATAAAATAACTCTTTGGGTATTGTAAATTTTAAGATCATTTCTTTAAGTTTAAGGTTATATTTCTTGTAAGAACTTTTGAAATAATGAATTAGAAGCAGGAAAAATGTGTCTTGAGAACATCTAAAGCTTGGAATGTTTAACAGTTCCAATCTCAATGCCCAAAATCTTCTAATTTCTAAATTTATGTTTGTATTTTTAAGAAATTATTCTACTCTTCTTATCTTTTGAGGAAAGTGATCTAATGATTAATTCTAATAACAATAATTTTTTTACTTATCAAGATATGAAAACAACTCCTATATTGTCTATTAATCATATTACTGGTTTTCCTGTTAAATATTTGATTTTTCCTTTGTGTAAAGGCAGCAAAAAAAATCTTTTTTTATTTAATGACATATTTTACTAATTCAAAAAAATCTGCTTGGGAATTTAAAATGTTTTTTGATAGTGGTGCTTTGGTAGGTATAGGCTTATACAAACTATTCTATTTTCAATTCCACCTATGATTTTCACAAACCTTACAATATACTTGAAATATTTTTTAACAAGCTTTAGTGAGATTCTACTTCAAATGTAAAGACTTGAATTAGAAACTTTCAAAATCCCCAAACACTCCATTAGACACTTTCTAATTGCTTCTCTTTTGAAATAATAAGTCCATTTTATTCTATGGCCTTTTTTATCTTGCCAATAACTTTGCTATTTGAAGGATAAATTATTTTGATTTAGATATTCTATGAATGCTAAAATATTTCTTTTGAATGCGATTAATACTGATTTTTGTACACCTAAATCTTTTAGGGATACCTTTCATCCCTGACCTCAACTTTGCATTCAGTATTGCTTTAATATATATGATGATTGATATTGTCTTATTGATTTTTGCAGTTATATTCCATTAATATTCATTCAATTTATATTTGTATAATGTTTTATTGTTTTTTGCAATTTGATCACAAAATTTAATTTTTTGACATTATATTTTTTATTGCTATGCTACAAAACTGCTGCTATAATTCAAAATTGCAATGGTTGCCAATGTCCAGATTTGAAAAAGTTTGCAAACCGCTGCAAAAGATTCTCCTAACGAATACAAATACAACGGATTTCTAACATTCATGAAACCATTGCAATGATTTTTGCAGCGGTTTTAACCGTTACTTTTAGTATAAAAAAGTGCACCTAAAAGCCTATTTACTAGTAGTGATTAGAGTTTGCAACCCTCATATCTTCATTTTAAACATACACTTTATACGTCATTCTCCTCATTTAGACCTTGGCATAACTAATGCATCTCAGCTTAAGATCTTTACAGCTTATAAGTTTCTTTTTTTTTTTTCATCATGCAAAAAATCTCACAAAAAATTAGGGCTTGCTAAAATATCCGTTTAATTTAGAGTTTTTTTTTCAGGTCAATATACATATCTGAATCTTCCATGAATCAATTTGACTAAACCACAAATTGCTCATACAAAAATCTTTTGATCTAATTCTGAGAAATCACACCATATTCTCGGTAACTAGCAAAACCTAAATATTAATCCTATGGAGTTTTTAAATTTGATTAAACATTAATTGCTATATTCTCTTGTTTGTTGTGAAAGAAGCACTGATTTCTTAGGTGTTGTATGATGCTAAATATTATCATTAATTGCTATATTCTGTTGTTTATTATGAAAGAAGCACTGATTTCTTATGTGTAGTCAGATAATTTACTGAGAAATAAAAAAAACTAATTGGTTTTAAAAAATCATAATGTAGCTTAAATTTTCAGACCATGTCATATAAAAGGAAGTTTTATTGAGTGCAATTTTTTTTCTTAATTTTTTGTTTACATGCATATCATAAAAATTCTTTTTAGTAATAAATCAACAATCAAATTCTTGAAATAAACAATAGAAACTCTTTATGGGTGATACAATTAAATTATAGCATATTTAATAAATTATTCAAAATAAAAATTGAAAATTTATAATATTTATTCAATTTTAAATGATATTATTATAAATAAAAATATTAAAATATTTCTATAAATATGTAATAATTGAGATACATATTGATTTTGAAAAAAAAAAAAAAACAAAAGCAAAGATGATAGATCACATACCGTATGTATTCTGCACAAAATTAGATCATAATATTTTAATCAAATTTAATCAGAATTAATCTTAAAATCATCAAATATATTTTAAGATGAATGTAATATATAAATATTTAATTAATATTTATAATACATTCATCTTAAGATAAATTTAATAATTTTGAGATTCATTCAAATCAAATTTTGATAAAAATATACTGATCCAGCTTTCTTCCATAAGCACGCGTTCAGTCTTGGCCCCCTTCAAAAGCCGTAGTCGATGTCTGTGGCGTTCTGGTTGGTAGACCGCTTCACAAGACGGCCTTGTTCGTCGTAGCGGTCGAAGTTCTCACAGGGTTCCGGGAAGACAGACCCGAAAACACGTCCCTCTACATACGAGCACTGGAAGATATGCTTCTTCTTGTAGCTTATACCCACGGACATATCCCTCAACGTCACCCCGCGCACCGGAATCTCATCGCTGCCACTTATGCGCACCGGCACGCGCACCCCGCGCCCGTGCACGCCCACGAACGAAAGCCCGTTGATCACCGGCAGGGCGCGAGGGTCGTAGCCGGCGTCCGGGTGCTCGTTGTAGTCGGTCTTAACCACAATGCCCACGCGGACATTGTCGAGGGTAAGGTTCCGGCAGCTTACACCCCGCACGTAGCCGCCGCGGCCAGGGGCGGTCTTGATGCGGACGCCGCGTCGCGATTCCCAGACGTGAATGTCTTCTATCGTTATGTTTGAAACGCCGCCCGACATCTCGCTGCCGATTGACAGCCCCGCGCTGGTAATGGAGAGAAGTGAGACACTGAAATTCAGGATTGGGAGGGTTCTTAAAGGTTGTTGGGGTTGAGAATATGTAAACCTGACGACGGATCGGAGAGTGACATTGCGGATTAATATGTTGGTGGAGGGGCGGCCGTAGGCTATGCCGTACTGATCCCAGCCGCTTTTGATGGCGATGCCGTCGTCTCCCACACAAATGAAGCTGTTCTCGATTACCATGTTCTCGCAGGAATCTGGCAATTGTATAATTTCAGGCATTAATGTGTGTGTGTGTGAGAGAGAGAGAGATATCTAGAAACATAATTTTATACTTTTGACCAACTAATAAATTGAGGGGCAAATTATTAGGTGCTGACACAGGATAGAGAGAATCATGTGGATTTCTCTCTCTCTATAGTAAAAGTACAGTCAAAGCGCAGCTGCTATAGTATCTCTGTTTTGACTGCACTTTTATTATAGACAGAGAATCCGAATGATTCTCTCTATCTGGTGTCCGAATCTTGATAATTTCTCTAAATTGAAGAGCTAAGTGATAGACAGAAATGTTGGCAATGGTTACCTGGATCGATCCCATCCGTATTGGGAGCGCCAGTAACTGGAGCCAAGATGGTAAGACCTGACAAGGTTACATTTTTGCAATCATATGGGTGAATTGTCCAGAAAGGAGAATCACGTAGTGTAATGTTGGAGATCACAATGTCGCTAGACCACATGATCTGCAATAGGGGTCCTCTTGTGTAGTTGAGAAGCTTCTTCCTGTATTTTATCCACCACAATTGACCTTGCCCGTCAATGGTTCCATTTTGTCCTGTCCAGTAATTATTGAAGATAGTATTTAGTTGAGCAATTTTAAGTAATGACACAGTATAGAACTCTACTCAAATACTGCAAGATTGAGAACCAGAATGGAAGTACAGATTCAAAATTCTTGGTGGAAAAAAAAAAAAAAAAAAACTAGTCAGGATGGTTATCACATGTTTCCGATAAGTTGACTCGTTGGTGAAAGCCATTTTTTTTTTCGTCTTGATTTTCTTTGCTGATTATTATTTTCCGCTCTTAAAAAAATTTAACTTTTATCTAAAAACGGATTCAAACAGAGTGATTTTTTGCTTCTCCAACCTGTAATGACAACGTCTTTAAGATGTTGCCCATGGATCAGGCTTCCATATCGAGGTCCTATATGCTCCCTTCCATACCCATACGATGGCAAGGGAGGCATTAGTGGCCAATAATTCTCATCCTGTTACAGAGCAAGTAATCAGAGCAAGTCATCAGATAAATAAAGATGATTCAATCCTTTACCCACTGGGAAGTGAACATTATGAATCCAACAAAACCACAATGTCTTGGTAATTGGTATGAACATTCAACTACAATAAATAACAATGATATTCATGCTAATCGAATAAGCCAACATGTAGAAGAAAATGAAATCTGGCATGTCAAGAGTAGATAAGCATAACACAGTATAGAGAAAATATGCATGAAGGTCCTTAAAAAATACCACAAAGAAAACAATTCCATGAAAAATAAATGTTTCTGTTAGCATATGATGATTACCAGGACATAATATTAAGAAATCATTAAATCGGGAGAGTATATAAATAGATTTATTCTTTCTTAATTATATTTATTTTCTCTTTTATTTTGTATTCATCATATGCACTTATAAATAAACTTTTTTTCAAGGAATAAGATCATGCAATTGTCCCCCATAACAAGGTACTAGCTTAGATCAGCCTTAGCCATTGTTATTCCTTCCTCCCACCTCCTAGTTTAGTGGATCTTCCCCAGGGCATGAATTGTCTTTGCACCTTGCTTTCTCACCTTTCTGATATTTTTACATTATATGCCATCAGATACTCAAGCTTCACATGAATATAACCTGACAATTTTGGGGAGATGCAGTCCTAATTACCTATTATCTTATTAGGCTGGTCCCTTCTGCACTTCACAACAATCAATTGTCATTAATATAATTTCCCACAATCTACCCATTTTTTTTCTCTTGCTCCCCGAGTGTTTGGTTGCATTTGCTTAACTCATATATTTCATCCAAATGATAAATTCTCCCAATGCAACTCATTGTATATTCCTTGGGCACTGTCGAACTAAAAAATGATATAGATGTTACGATCATTTTGCCAAACATCCATACAATTTAGTTGACGCCACATTTCATGAGAATACCCTTTATCTTTGTTACCACAACTTCAAAATCATCACCATTTGTTCTTTGTCCTCATACTTTGCTCCCTACCTCTCCTTCTCTATATGTGTACTCTAGAAGACTTAGACAAGATCTTATTGCAACACCTACTCTCCCATCTACTTATACTAATGATCCTCTGAGAATGCCTTAAGATTCACACCTTTCCATTACACTACGATGAGGTAAATGAAAAATTGCTTATCATCCTATTTACTCCTTCATGATTTTTGACCATCTATTCGATATGCTTCTTGATTGAATCAAGAAGGTTAGGAAACCTTTTGAATAGGTGTGGACTCCTTGGGGAGAAGAACGAGGAGAAAAGATAAGAGAAGAGGGAAAATAAGAAATATAATTTTCATTTCCTAAACCAAAATTACAGCAAATGGGGTCATTTATAGGTTTGCACATGTGGTTTAAAAGGGGACAGACTGTCTAAACAATTAATAAACCAAGTTACAATAGTAGACTGGTTGCTATGGGTTCAGTTCTTAGAAAAACCGTGGGTTGGTTCAATCCTTAGATCGGTTTATGGACCAGCTACTGTATTGCACATTTATTGGATCCTTTGGCTGAATTTGTACATCATATAGGTTGTCTTTTGATGCTATCTTCTTCCTTCCTTGTCGGTGGCACAATATGATGTTTGAATTATTATGATAAGTTTGTTTTTTTTGAGTTCTTGATCCATTTTCACCTTGTTTTTGTATTATATTTGCAGCCAAGGGAATGTATAGGAGCTTAACACTATCTCAATCCTATCATTAATTTTCCATATCTTTGTCTGTTATTTATATTTAAAGTCATACCTATACGCACTACAACATCCAGGATAGAAATAGGCTATATATGTTGAGATAAATGTTCGTAATGGTAAAAATATATAAGAATTGGTTGCCTATGGGTTTTCACTGGCAAATTTCATTATAATGGCTCCATTGATTAGAACAAAGCTCGACTAATCCCAAATATTTTACTCTAATCTATGGAAATTGATTTTTTTTCTCCGATCACTAGACTTAACTCTATTAGAATTATACTCTTTATGACCATTAATCAGGGTTAGCCTATGCTGCAAATAGATGCTAATAACACCTTTTATGGTGCTCTAAATGAAGCATTACATATAAAGCAATCTCCTGGATATGCAGCTTAGGAGGAGAAATGCATATGCCTAGTAAGGAATGCCATTTATAGGCTTAAGTAGAATCCAAAAGTACGGTTCATAAAATTTTGAAAAGTTCCTGCAAAAGTTGTCCTTCAAAGCACTATTGTGAATCATTCGATCTTTATCAAATATACAACAACAGGCTCAATTATACTAGATGTTTATGTAGATGATATATTATTCACTGTGAGCGATAAAGAAGGTATAACTAAAGTTAAACACTACTTATAAAATTGTTTCATTAGTAAATATCTAAGACACAATAACTTCTTATGATTGAATTTGCTTATAACAAAAATCAAATTTTATATCTCAAATAAAATATGCTACTGATCTTTTTGAAGAAATTTGACTTCTAAGGTGCAAACCAATTGTCATCCATTTGGATAAATTAGCCATATGATTATCCATCTTAGCATTGAAAATTAATTAGAGCATTAATTCATCTGGCATTACATGATCGTAAATCTCTTTTTTTGTTGGGGTCGTAAGTCAACAAATGCTAAACTCCAAAAAAAAAAAAAAAAAAAAAACCATTGGAATGGTGCTCTTTACATTCTCTTTACATTCTCAAATACTTAAAAAAAACTCCAAAGAAAAGGATGTTATATACTCATTTTGGACAACTAAACGTTGAATTATTCACTTCTCTTGATTATGTGGGGCCATTTGATGATAGGAAGTTAGCTTTTTGGTATTGTATTGTTATAGGAGGTAATTTTAGAAGGATAAGAAACAAACTATTGAAACCAAATCCCAGGTTGAAGTGGAAAATGGAGCCACTCACATGTTAAATAATGTGGGCCAAAACTCTATTAGTAGAATTTGATTTTCCAACATATGAGTCTATAATTCTATATTGTGATTATTTTATAACTGTATGAATTATCAGTAATCATGTGTTTAATGAAATGATCAAACACATCGAGGTTGATTTTCATTTCACGGGATTTAATACATTCCAAAAAAATTATTACTCATGTTTCTAATTCAGAAAAAGTGATAGATATTTTTACCAGAGCTCTAAATCCTCTCCCATTTTCTCTCTTATGCAGTTATGTGCAACTTGAAGCTAATAGATGTATATGCTCCATTTTAAAGGGTAGTTTTAACATATAATGCTTATTATAAAGCGATATTAAAAATTATCATTTAATGTGAGTATATAATTTGACTTATTCCCCCTTAGTTATACTTATCCTCTCTTTGAATTTCTTTCCTTATTATGAGTAAAAAAGAAGACGCCAGCATCCATGACAAAACAATATAACTAGCTACTAAACTAAGCGATACCTACATGAGCCAAGCAAAAGTATGGGAGGCTTGGTAATGATGAAGATGATGGCGAAGAAAAAGAAGAATATGATAATGATGAACTTTTCTTTAGTTAATTAGTCACCGTCCTGGCTATCTTTTAAGTTCAATATGTATTGGTGAAAAATCATTGCTGTTAGAGTTCACCAGGCTCTCTTTATAAAAGGCCATGAAATCCAATGTGTTAACACTAATACAACATTACTCAACTTGTTTAATTTAAAAACACTATAAAGGGAAATCCAAAGCCACCCTATACCTTCATTCATAAAATGCTAGGATATTGATTATGTTGGGAGAAAAATAAGTGCCTGGGCACAATAATAAACAAAATAGAGAAATAAACAATGCATGCAGAGAAAAACAACAAAAGATAAACACATAATTTATATTGTTCGGTGAGATCTACTTACATTCACGGTTGTATTAAGAGATATAGGTCTACTAATTCAAAGATATAGTATTGCACACCTCACATATTTCTCTCACACCTCATCTAACTAGATACTTCTCTTTCATTCTCTTTCTCGCTCATCCCTCTCCTTCGTCCTCCTTCCTCATCTCCATTCCTATACTTCTTATCAAGCCAATCCTTTAAGACATCAATCTTCAATGGGATGGATGATCACTTAGTGATATGGACAATGCTTTAAGTTATTCCTCTGATCAACCTCTTTGGGCCTTTTTTGATCAAGCCAATCCTTCAAGATAATGGGATGGATGATCACTTAGTAATCTTGTTAAGATTATTGATGAATCAATTGAAGAGTAGAGTAAACATGCTTCGTGTTGTTATAGGTTGCCTTAAAATGGGTCATTTGCCATCTTGGGTAGTTGTTTCCATTGAAGGTGTAGAATTTGGCACTGAATAATTGAATATGAACGACCTTTACTAAACAGCTTTTAGCTTGCTCCAAAGCTATAATCTCCTTGATCAACTCACCGATAAGAATGTCTAGTTTAGTTGTTGTCAAATAATTGATTGTTTTAGGTAGAAGGCTGAGTTACCCCAAGCTTGCTTCTAACCTACTTCTCAAGGGATTTTGGACTCAAGAAACTCCAGGTACAATGTTGTATTGTGCATTGTTGGCTGTCTGATAAGGCTCACTAATGGACAAGATATTTGCAAAATTTATAGATGTACATTTTTTTTGCAAAAAGTTGTATCATCATACTCATCTATACCATCTTTTTATTCATCTTGGTGTTTATTAGAGAGGCTTCTTTGTCTTTGGCTTCATTGTCATTGCACTTATTGTTGTATATGGCATAATACAGTGTCATAAAAATTGTTTTCTTCTTTTTCTTCTACCTCCTCATTTCCGGAGGAAGAGTCAAGTTGTTCCCCTTGATCTTGCGATGGATTCTCTCCAAGAAGAAGAGGGGTTGTGGCTATATGCGATCAATTTAAATAATCATAGGGCTAGTTGATGCTATGACAACCATATAAACCACTACCATAGTCATTGTATTTTCTTCTTCTTCTTCTTCTTGTCTTCTCATCTTTGACCTTAGAATGACACATCCAATGAATTTTTGGTGATCACTAATGCATTATAACATCATTGGTTGCATGATCTTGGCCCAAATTCTCTTCTTTTATAGTGTTTAATTCTTGATGGCATTCTTTGAAGTTATCACTACCACCTTTTTAGGGCAAAAGATCTCCCTAGAGTGTCGACCACTTTAGTTGTTGCTCATAGAATCATTGATTTTGGGATCCACACTTAATGAGCCTTTTCAAAAATGGATTTAGGGATATCACTCAGATTTCATATTCTAATCTTCAACAACCACCATAGAAAAATAGTGACTTATAGGAAAATCCTCAAATTTAGAGGCTTATTTATATTTGTGAAACATATTCTCCGACATGATTTTTTTACTGCTAAATTTGCAGGGGCAAATACGTCAAAAGATAACTTATTATCAACAAATATTACCTGAAAATTGACAAAAAAAATTCCTTGGCCTAACTTGAACCCCCATTTCTATGATATATCTTTCCTTTATTTCTCTCAAATTTATGGCATGACTCTTGGGAGAGCTCATCACTATAGATTCCCATCAACACTCTCGTTGCTCATTGTAGTCGCTTGACGTTGTTGATTATTGTTACTTTAGATTCGCTTGACGTTGTTGATTATTGTTACTTTAGATTCCTTGCGGGAGAAGTGCAAAGGGGGGATTAAATTGGGGCAAGGAAGCAAGGGAAGATTCATATGGTGGAATCTATTAAGGTCATACTATTCTCCATAAATAAACTTGTCTCTGTGAGAAATATATGTGACCGCGCTAAAATGAGTTTATGCAGCCTCAAATTTGTTTTAGGCCACATTTGGCAACTTGAATGTAAAAATAATGTTTCAAGAAATAATGTAGTTTTTTAGATTCATCATTTGGTTAAGGAAACAAAAGAAATCAATATTCACTTTAAACTCCACAGACCTTTTCCAAATTATTTCAGATATATTGATTTTATTTCTGCATATATGTGTAGCTGAAAACAAAACTCTCATTTTCTAAATATATTTTTGATGCAAAAGCAAGCAAATGAGGGCTTAGAGTTCTTGAGCAAGCCAACCTTCATTATCATTGGGTTTGAAAAAGATCAGCGAAATAGTCTAACTTCGAAAGAGTTGTCTAATATTTCATCATTTTGACAATGCTTCGACATTGTATTCAAATGGCTTCTTAAAAACCCTCATGTAAGGGGCATTTAGGAGTGGAGCTCTCTCTCTCTCTCTCTCTCTCTCTCTCTCTCTCTCTCTCTCTCTCTCTCATATTTCAAATGGGACTAAGGGGTGGTGGTTCCAAGAAATTTGTTTTCTCCCTTTTTTTTAATAATAATTGAAAAAAAAGAGAGAAGAGAAAGAGGTGGTGATTTATGGGTGGGTAGTCTCCCTCTCCTTTTTAAGGGGCATCTCATAGAAGGTATATGGAGATGTCTTTATTTTCACCAGCAACTAAGACGGTTATACAGAATTCTGCTCAATTTCTTATATGATTGCATGTTCCCATGTTTCTCTAGATCACTTCATGATGCCGCCACCACCATAAACATACTTCGTGGGAGTCTTATCTATGTTATTGATCTGATGCTTGTTAATGCATAGCTCTGAAGCTTTCAAATTCTCTATAAGTTGATTATTCACCGACAGCCTCATTAATCACTCACCTTCACAACCATCAAACTATGGTGTCTTCTACTTCTAAGTATACTCGTAGAAAGACAGGGGCCTATTCCATTACCGCCAATTTCATGGACACCAACTATTCCTATTCAGCTTTTCGAGGAAAAGTTTTTCACACCCCTAGAGGAAAGTTAATGTAACATAACCGTATGTTATGTATGGAACACAAAAAATAGAACTTCAAAAAAAAAAAAAAAAATCTCTAGTTACCTGAATCCCGAGAATAATTGCGCCTTCTGCAAGAAAGAGCGTCATGTGGCTAGTGAGGTTGAAAGGAGCAGTGAGCCACCGCCCTGCGGGCACGTTGAGCTGCCCACCACCTTTTCCTCTAAGCCGCGAGATCGCTGCAACCGCGCTCTCAAACGCCTTCGTGTTAAGCGTCTGCCCATCTCCTACCGCCCCAAAATCCGATAGATTCAACACCATCGGCCGCAACTTCGGCACCAAACCCTCCATAGGTGCCGTGTGGCCGAATAACCGAACCACATCGAAGGAGCTCTTCTGCCACACAAAGATAGAGCAAAACACAAGTATCCACATCCCGGTGAAGATGGTAAGTGGACAAGGAAGCGTCACCGGAAGCCACCGCCGCTGCTGGAGGAACTGTAAGCGGCCGCAAGGAGTTGAGATCTCCACCATTTCCGTCGATGCCAGAACAGTAACAAATTTAGGCATCAAATGGACGAAATCTTGTAATTATTTAAACATCCTAGTAACATCTTCCCGGATTTCGGGAATGATCGAAATCCGCAAGGACGATTAGGGCTTGAGGACTAGGAGTTCCCCCATTCCAGTAGGAGAAATTTCTGTTATTTTTCAAAAGAAACCAGCGGGAGGCCGAGTGCTTTGCAAGGAAAATGCTGGTTAGGCGTTAGGTTTATTTGTAGGCCCGATAGACTAGCAGTAGCAGCAAAGCAAAACTATACAATAATGCTCTTCTTACAAAACTGATCTCAGCTATCCATTCTGGATCAAATGGTTAAAATCTGCGTCCTCAGATTTCAAAATTCTGAATCTTGACTTCAAATTATGCATAAAATATAATTTAAAATAGAAAAATATTATATTCCCCATAATTCCTCATTTAATATTGCATGACATAATTGCTTATCTAATTGATGATGCAATCCCATAACCTGCCCCAAAATTAAAATAAAATAGATGATGAAATGCAATTTTTTTTGTCACTATTATCAAATTCCTCATTTTTAATTCTGAGTCTTATTCATTTAAATCTTAAAAATACATGCTTCAAAGAACAAAATCAATATGCATCTGAGAGCCTCCATTTGCAGTCTAAAAGACGATCACTTTTGAAAGTGCCAATGCGTAAAGCGATCGGGCCAATTGAGGCCATCTGAATTTGTTAAGGCTTTAATGACTCAAGGCGTGGAGCATTAGGAAAAGGAGAGCAGGAGGAAGATGGAGCAACCTCGGCCCGATCATCTAATTCATAGGTATCATTCAATAGTCAAAGCAACTGCATCACTTTCAAGTACCTATTAGGCTACAACTCTTTTGAGATCCCTTTGTAATCGAATTATTCTATATAAATTGACCGAACGCAGAAAGTCTTCCACTGCCAAGCAAAGTAGAGAAATGAGGAGAATGAATATTTATCTATTGATGAAAAGATGTTGACATGCTTGTCAAATAAAAAATTAATATGAAATCAGTTTAAATACATATTAAGGGAAAATATAATTGCTGTTAAAATTATTCTCTCTACTTTCTTTTTTAGCTATATGTGAAAATGAAAGTAGTTATTTTTTCTCTCAGATTGAAGTATTACAAATAGTTTTCAATCACCTGAAGTAGAGATCAAACCAACACAAAATTTAAATTATTTTTGGTTCTAAGTTTAACTATGCTGTGTAACTGAAGCAAGGATCAAGTGGCTAGTACTCCTCTGGGGTCGTTACCTTCTTTTAAAAGAGTAAAAGTTGGAAAGCTTAGCTTCAGCGCGAGCATGAGAGGCTAAGTGCAGAGGACGCAATGACTGGATTATTAGCGGGGGTGGGTGAAGCGGTAGTTGAGTACCGTTTGCTAGTCATGTTGCACACGTTGGGTGCGGTGGTTTTGATTGTAAAGCTCGTCTAATCGTCAAAGACGCATTGTGTTTGCGTTTGATGAAATGTCTATTTATAGGATTTTGACGGAAAGCCTAAAAAACTTTATTATAGTACGCTAGAAAGTCACGAGAGAAGAAGATTGGTTGTCAGTGTCAATAGTATTTTAACGCCAGGAATGCTTGACTGAGTTAAAATTTTTGGAATTACAATTCTATTACTAGAAACAGAGCCTAATCTCATCTATTTAAAAACAGGAATTTTTTCTTCAGAGAGAACGGCTCACCAGTCAGGGCTTTTGTCAACATTTGGCTGTGTTTTTTTTTGTGGGCAATTGTCCTTCTTTTGTAGGAATAAGCCTTGGTTTTCATACATATAAGAAATGTTGCAAGGAATAGATAATGGTGCTATAGAGAGAGAGAGAGAGATTTTAATATTTTAACTTCAAGCAACAGCTTGTTAAGTTTCATGTGCTGTTGAAGATGTACAATAGAGAAGAATGTTAGGCTGGCTGGACCTCGTGTATGGCCGGCGGAACCAGCGTAACAGAGAGGGGGGGGGGACCTTGTGGGCCTAATTTGATTTAAATCCAATTTTGGGAGGGAAATTTTGAATTGAAAGGGTGTTTAGGGAATTTGTAACACTCCTTTAACTTTAATTAGGGACTAATGATAGAATTAGGGCTTCATCTGGAGATTAGATGAAATTTTGAGATCTAGGGTTTGTTTGGGTCTCTACGCCTTGCTAGAGATTGTGGAGAGTTTTCCTTCCTCTTGAATTGAAGGAAATTATATCTTGCTTGATCGTTCTTATTGTTATTTGAATTAAAGAGTTTCTTTAGTGTTTTTCTTCTCTAAACTACAAAGGTTTTGGCGTTATTCTTGCTGATTTCTCCTCGAAATCAGCCCTCACTATTTTTGCCGATTCTTGATTGGTTTGCTTGTGAACTCAAGTATTACCCTTGTGGTTACTTGCGAACTTAAGTATTTCCTATCAAATTGGTATCAGAGCATTGTCTTGGGACCATCAGCGGCTAAAATTCCGAAATTTCAGCAAGGAACCTTCATCTGAAAGATATCTTCTCGGCAACCTTGGGAGGGAAGATGGCCGGAAGGAAAGTGGAAATATTGGAGGGATAAATCGGCCAACTAAAGACTGATTTGGAAGAAAGAACCGCTGATTTTCAAAACCAATTCGCTTCCATCCATGAAAAGATGGATGGGAGGTTTACCGCCTTCAAAGAAATGATGAAGAAGATGTTAGAGGGAAAACAAAATCCGACGACATCGGAAGTAAGGGAAGCCACCGATGACAATGGGAGATGCGGGAACCCGAACCCATTTAGGGGGAGGGAGAATATAGAAGTGGAGATTCTTGAGGGGAATGATAGAATGCCTCCGCTAGAACCACTTTCTAGGGAGGAGATGAGCATGGGTTATGAGAGAAGAGGTGCTGAATTTTTAGGGAGAAGAGGTGAATTCCATCGTCGAGGCGCTGAAGATGAAAGGAGAAGAGGGGAATACGAGGAAAGGAAGGGGTACAATCGTCGGAGGGAAGATCGTGACCACTGGGAAGCTTTTCCCCCTCGGAGAATGGGAGGTTATGGAGGAATTAGGGGAAACGAGGGCGACTCGAGGGTAAGGAAATTGAAGATGCCCATCTTTGAGGGCGAGGATGCTCATGACTGGATCTACAAGATGGAATGGTACTTTGCAGTCAATGCGTTGATAGAGGAAGAGAAACTGACAACTGCATGACTGTGTTTGGAAGGGAAGGCATTAGCGTGGTACCAATGGCGGGACATGAGGCGGCCCATTCGAAGCTGGAGAGAGTTCAAGAACTGTCTACTAGAGCGTTTCTAAACCAGTAGGGGAGGAGACTTCTACGAGCAGTTCTTTTCTTGACACAGGAGGGGACGATGGCAGAGTACCGTGATCGATTTGAGTATCTAGAGAGCAGGTTGGATCGTCTTTCTGAGATCGTGTTGGAGAGGAACTTCATTAAGGTGCTCAAACCAGAGATCAGAGCAGCCGTTAGAGTGATGAGACCACGCAATTTGGGGGAGGTCATGGAGTTGGCATAACTGGTGGAGGACCATAAGCATCTAGAAAGGGGGGCTCGAGGCAGTAGCTCTGGGGGATCCTACAAGATGACTACTACTTTTCTAGCTCCCAAAGGAGCTGCACTAGGAGGTTCACGAGAGGCACCAAAGGAGAGGATTGGAGGAGGTGGGCCTGGAGGAAATTTCAAGAAGCTGTCTGAGAAGGAAATCCAGGAGAAGCGGGCTAAGGGGTTATGTTTCAAGTGCGATGAGAAGTACATGCCAGAGCATAGGTGTAAGGACCGAACTCTTTAGGTTCTCACCGTCTGTGATGACGAGAAAACTGATGGAGGTGAGAGTGGCTAGTAGCGTGTGCACGTCATCTCCAAGCACAGCATCTTGCTTGCAATAGCCGGTCATCATACTCGTGGTCCCTAAATGTCGCAACACATCACCTTGCTTGTAGCTGCAAGCCTTCCCCCACGCACCATTCGATCTCCAGTTCCATCTCCAAGAAATTATAACGGGAAGGCGAGGGATTACATAAAGAAGTATTCTCCTAAAATACCTTAAAGAACCAAATGCTTATGGGCTTCTTCGTCTAATTTTAACGAAAAATTTAAATGAGGAACCAAATTGGATAATTTCTAATAATCGAGGGATTAAAATTGGGTAATGCGAAACTCTTGGACTAAATTGGATATTTATTAATAGTCGGTGGGTTATTTTTAGCTTTTACTCACTTAGTCATACATGCACATGAGGAACAAGCAATTCATCTATAAATTATGTATTCTTGTTGAGGATTCACCCTTCACATCTCCTCAAGCCATTAATGAGCTATTTGAGTTTGGTGACCGCACTAATAGGTTTTAATTAATCTTTAAAGAACCATCTCCATTCACTTAAAGCCAAAATGCCTCTATTCCTATCTTTGAGTCATACAACAGTCCTTTGTGATATTGGAAGGGATAAGTATATCCAAATGAATAAATATAAGTTAAGCACAAGCAATAGTCCTTAATCAAGAGTTTTCTCGAGTATCCCTAAGATGTAATTAATTATAGGTACATTGTTCATTCAGAAATCTCAATGCCCTGAAAACTATTATAACTTTGTTTGGATCCACAAAATTCAGTCAAAGAAAAATTTATGGGATAGAAATGTTTGATCCACTTCTCATCAATATCATATGTTTATAACGTGCAATGGTCTATGACCAGGCATCTATTAATTAATAGCATTCTAAGTAGTTATCCTTATCCTATAGAAAAATTTCAACACAGAGAAACAATCTCAATCAAAGAATTTTATTATTAAAAAGAGAGAAAAGTGAGCTTAAGCAATTAGAAAAGAAATAGTGCTATTTTTTATACATCCATTTATTTGATGGGGTACAACAACTCAGGCTAAGTTCTTCTCCTTTGATCCTCTTCTAAAAAATTGTTTGAATAATCTAAGGGAGGGAATTGCCCATGTTTCCTGATTGATTTCTCTCAGTCCACCATTGTCAACTCTTATTGGGCTAGATATAATTTTCTTATGACATTGTTTCTAGCCAACATAAGTCTAATACCATCTAGCAAACTTGATTAAAGTGTCGTGATGCTCTTATCCATAAAAGCCTAAGAAGGAAGATATCCATGCTTTAAAACAATAAAAAATCACAACTCAAAGTACACGAATGGTACAATGCTCCAGTAACGTAACTCAGATGGATCCTTCAATCGCAACTTCTCCTCTATTAGGTGTATTTTATGCTTTTGATTGTTAGAATACCTTTTCAATTTGTGCAGCATATTGAGATTCTCGTTGATCTTATCCCCAAGTCTAGTTCCTTATTTCCCAACAGCTTCAATTTATAATGTATCCACCAAACACGAGTTGTAGAGTGCATTGCTCACAGCTAACTTTCCACTCACCAAGGACCGAGAGTCCGTGCTCAATTTGTGCCCAAATAGACTTATATTGGTGTTTATGGGGTCCCTAGATTTATTTATTTACGTTTTGGAACTTTTCAAGCTCAATGAAGCTTTTAAAACTAGTTTCAAGCATATTTGACAAATTTGAAGCCAAAATTTTCATTGATTTTTGCACAAATGATGCGGCAACTTCAACTAAGGCTAAAATTATAATTAAACATAATTCACTTAGTTCATGGCCTTGAGGAGACACCCACTTTGGTTTCCAAGGAGCGATCACATTTTGTAATATTCTAAAATTATAATTTTATGCCTATTTAATATATGTTCAGATGACATTGGTTTGATGCTCAAAAATAGATGACAAATGATATAATATATATCATAAAAAATCTAGCTAACCGAGCACGAATCTCAATGGAATATATGTGTTGAAAAGTTTTGAAATAAAATTTAAAGCCATCGAAGCTCTAATTCCAGCAAACTTATAGTCGAAATGAACGACTTGATATGATGAACCAAACAAGATAAATGGTGATTCGATCCAAGCCCAAATGAGCCCAAATCAAATACTTGAAAATTTGTTTAAACTTCAGGACATTAATTGTAGGACAACATAGTCTCCAAATCTTATATACTTATAGTCAAATTAAGCATCTTGATGAGATAAATCCAACAAGCTCAAGATTACTCAATGTTAAGGTCTTTCAGGCACTCACATGCTAAAAGAATGATATATGATCAATATAGGTCGTTTGATGAGCCTTTTTTAACTTTGGCTAGATTTATTAGAATGTCTCAAAAAATTATAAATAGGCTTTCATTTTTCACATGAAGGTGATATTGAGTCCAGATAAAAAGACTTAGACATATGAAGAACTCTAGAGCTCTGTCTTACGTTCAACATAGAAGATCGCCATCAATAATAGTTGTCCTATGACCATCGTTGCATGAATGACATCTTCCGATCATCAAAGTCCAAACACAATCCCCCGATCATCGTTGCATGAATACTCCCTCCGGAATTTGTCGCCCGATTAACAATCGTTGCTCAACTTTCATTACCCTACCACCGCTCCTGGTTGTTGTCTCCCTCGTATATTTTTCTCACAATCATTATTATAGGAGATCAAATAAGTTTTCTCAACTTTGTTATCTCATCTCTCCAGCTGTGGAGAAGGAATGACTTCTATAAGTTCAAGTACATAATAAATTATTTTGATTTGGCCAACCTCCATAGTTTTTTCCTCCTTTTTGGATTTTCCACAGACACTTATTGCCGCTTGCATTCTTCTCTTTTATGTGTGCACAAGCTAAATCTTCGTGTAAATCTAAACATAAAACTTTCATTTTATCATTACGAATCTTCTAGCATGCAACATTTTATCTCAAAATTGATGTTACGAAATCTAAGAAAAGTTAAATTCACAAGGTATATTTATAACAAATATTTCAAGATCTAAATAATGTAGCAATAATATTACTAGAAAGTAAAAAAGGCAGCACATAGCATTAATTTAAGTGCTCATGAAGTCGAACACAAAGGACTTATTTCAATGTTTATGACGTATAGAAGTTTCATGATGACAGAAATTTGGCTAAAAGTTATCTGGTAAAAAAATATATTGGCACAAATTTGTGCCATGCGTGCAAGATAAATGATAAAAAAATATTGGATAGAAAATTTTATTTTTTTATTACTTATCTAGCACTACAGACACAACCTACTGACCCAAAATTTTCCAAAGCTTTGGGAGTTATAGTTAGGGGTGTCAATATTTGGCACGACATGAAAATCCGACCCAAAAATTTCAGGTTCGGGATTTCGACCCGTTTGTAAAACCGGGTCATGTAACATTTTGTTCTTTTAAGGAGATTTGGATAAAGTTGAATCAAACTACTATTTCTATTCAACTTTCATAGAAATGACAGGTTTCTCAGCTAAACCTAACAAAAACAATTATTATTGCAAGTTGTCAATTGGATGATCAAGGTTGATTTTCTCTTCTCTAAAATGATTCAAGCATAGAACAGAAGGAATTCTCGAGTTGATTCAGCCAATAAATTACCTAGTATTTTTTAACTTTGAACTTGAAAATCACCAGCATCCAGATAAACAAAAAAAGAGCAAAAAAACACTGAAGAATTAGTAAAAAATATCGAAGAACTTGCTGAGCACTGAACTTACTATACTTGCATAATATGGTACATAGATAAGGCCAAAAAGTCATTTCCATCTTACACTCTTTACATGGCAAAGGTACAACAAACTAAAATATTTAAATATGCTTGTATGGGTGCAAAAATATCACAATTCTGGAACGGATACTCCATACTTATTAGTTATCAAAAGCTGAAAGGATAAGTTTAGAACTCAAAAGAGCCCTTTTTTGAGAAAAAAGAAAATTATTTAGGAAGAAATTAATGAAAGAATTGCCAGTACCTTTGTGCCTTGCGGAGCTGTTCAAACCGACATGAAAGATGACAAATCAGCCTCAAAATAGATAATTTCTCCTTCCATCATATTCTTTGTTCCTTTGCCTTCACAGTTATGTACAGTCAATGATTTGATTAATATTTTCTAAAAAAATGAAATAAATAAAGTTTAAGATTTTTAACAATGTATGAACCAGAGGTCACGCATCTTTGTTCACTGTCCACCTTAGTCACCATAAAGCACATTTCCATTTATTTTGTAGTGTGGCAAGTGTCATGTATAGAGAGGAAGAAAATTGCCTTCCCTTGTGCAAATTAAACGTATAAACCTCAAACCCAGCTCTGTGCCACCTCCTTTCTCATCCCACTAGCATCCAATCTCTGCCTCAGCTTACTCTTCTCTTCCCACATTTTTTGTTCAGCATAAATATTAGAGAGAGACACATATGGACCATTATTTCCTGGTTTAAGTACCATAAGCTTATCAGCTGACCTCTTTCCTAGCTCCATCTCTCCATACATCTCACATGCCCCTAAAAGTGTTTCCCATACCAGTGAATCTGATTCCATACCCATTTCTTTTATAAACCTCTCAGCTTCCTTCAACCTTCCAGCTCTACCAAACAAATCTACCACACAGGCGCAATGTTCCTTCTTAGGCTTTATACAATATTCATCAACCATGGACTCTACAATTACAAGCCCTTCATTTAAAAGACCACCATGGCTACATGCTGATAAAGCACCAAGGAATGTAACACCATCAGGCTTAAATCCATGTTTTTTCATCAATTCAAACAACCCTAAAGCTTCTCTTCCCTTCCCATGCTGACCATAGCCACAAATCATTATGGTCCATGATACTACATCAATTCTTGTCATGGTTTGAAAGACCAAGCGAGCATCTTCCAAGCTACCACACTTAAAGTACATATCCATAAGAGCATTACCCACTCCAACATCTGATTGAACTTTGGACTTCAATATTCTAGAATGAACCATTCTCCCATGTTCAACACTGGACAAATCACTGAATGCTGGCAAAACGCTAGCAAAGGAAAATTCGTTTTCCGTAATGCCTTCTCTAAGCATCTTTCTGTAAAAGTTAATCACCTCCTTTGTCATAGCATTTTGCGCCAATGCACCGATCATTGCAGTCCAAGATATTATATTAGGTTCCTGAATTCCCTCGAACACTCGTACTGCAGAATCGATGCCTTCCCCACATCTAGAATACATTGTAACTAGAGCATTTCCAGCTGGCGTATCAAAGTCCAACCCAAACTTCAAAGCACAGCTATGAATCTGCATGCCCAACTCCAAATCCCTCCTCTCCAAGCAAGTTTTCAAGACGCTCGTCAACGCAAAACAATCGAAGACGCCACCACTCTCCGACCTCATTCTTAAGAAAATGGCGACAGTTTTCTCTTTGTTGCCACTGCAAGCACAGGCATCAATCATTATATTCCACGAGACTGAATCAAATTCAGTTATATCTTCAAATGCACAAACGGCATCCTCAAGTCCGGTAATCCTCTCGTAGCCATTCACCAAAGCTCCCCCAACAAACCCATCAGAGTTTAGCCCAAATTTTATCGAATGTGAATGAAGCTGCATCAGTACATAAGGATACTTACAAGCATTGTAACCTGAGAGCAGTGCTGACAGGGTTAGGCCATTGGGAATCATTCCTTCCTCCAGCATCTGTGAGTAAAGAAGCACGGCTTCAATGGGATCTCTAGCACGGCGAATATGATCCGAGATGAGAGTGTTATAAGAAACGACATCTCTCTCGGGCATTCGATCAAACACCCGGCGAGCAACCCTGGATTGACCACAATTCAGGTAGAGCTTAAGGAGCTTGTTCCAGAGAGAAAAGGAACGTGACGCGAGATCATGAAGAATGATGATTCGGGCATGAGCGGCGGCGCCACCGCAGAGGTCGCCGGTAGCGGTGAAAGAATGCAGGGCAGCGGATAGTTCAGCGAGGTTGCCAGCGTAGTATCGTTGCCGAGAAAGTGTACATGAGGACTGACGGCGAAGGATTCCACATGCGATCTTCCTCAGCATCAGTGGAGTGAGAATTGATCAGAGTCGCTTATAAGCGGATACATTTCCTTTCTTTCATTTGGTCGTTGGCAATTTTCTTTTTTACTTTGAGCCAATTGAAAAAAAAAAAACTCATACACGCATAACATGTATAAACTTCAAAAAAAAAAAAAAAATCTGTTAAATGATAGTCAAAAACTTCCCATCAACAACAGATCAGATCACATGAGCTGCATCATGTTGGCCTATTTAGTTCAATTATTTTGAAGGTTGCATCCTACACAAATTCTTATCCAGTTACACCTCTAACTCATAAACTTTGAATAATCAAAATTAATTTCACCAAAGAAAAATTTAAATTATATTAAAAATATATTTTTCATAGTTACATTTTAATATAATTTAAATATTAAATTTTATAAATAAATATTAAAATTCTTAAAATAGAGCAAAACAGCTATTTGAGTGGGCCTTTTTTCTCCAAATGAGTTAGAATTTTCACCTAATATTACTTCTTTTTTTGTTTAAGTCGCTTCTAACGATTGTGGGAAATTGAATTGGTGGCCTCAGCCTATTTTCATTAATTATGATAATAATGAAAAGTGTGCTAAATTATAAAGCTACAACTCAGAAGTTGGAGACATAAAAAAAGCTAGATAAGGTCTAACAAAAAATTATGCACTGCCAAAAAAAAGTTTAAATTTTCAAAAATTCTTGACTCATGATTCATTTGGGACGGTTTTTTTACTGCTTCTTAAAGTAACTTTTTAATTCAAAAATTAAAATATTACTATAAGAAGCAGTAAGAAAATCGTCCCTAACGAAGCCTCATAATGAAAAAATTCACCCTATAAAAAATAATAGTGATTGTGCCAATAAATTTTGCACCCCCGGTTATTGAATGGCCGCCCAAGATGGTGCAAACAATGAACTGTGAGGAAGAAGAGGTAAAGGAGTTCATTCATCATTGTCCAAAAGGCACTACAAGCATTGCGGAAATAAGTGCTCAATTTGCTGATTTTTGGTATATTTAGATGCTTTGTCTCAATAACATTTCCAAAATGATGACCATTTCTTTCATGCCAATTGTAATAAATTGAACAGCAGGTGGTTAGATAATGAAGTTTTTAAGAAGTTGTTGAAACCGACCTCATATCATAAATGAAGAATAACAAGTTGCGTTAGATTTGATCGCAATAGAAAGGAGGAGGTCCCCAAGGCAAAAAAATTGGTAAGCAAGTTGAAGGTAACAAAACACTCAAAGAACAAATGGTTGGCCAATTCAAGAAGAGCACTACAGAGATAATAAGGCTTCGTTTGGGATGACTTTTTTTCTGCTTCTTAAAGTAGGTTTTTAGTAAAAATAAAATCTATTAAAAAGTTACTTTAAGAAGCAGTAAGAAAGCCGTCCGAAACGAAACCTAAGTTTATTTAGCACAAAATTTATGATGAAGAAGCACATCTATGATTTTATGACCCCCAACAATGAAAGCTAAGCAAAAATGGAGAACCTTTATGCATAATTTTAATGCTAAAAGAATGATTACCAACTAATTACGTCTTGCTTATTTCATAATAGGATTTAAGGAAGACCTTAAATGAGGGATTATCAATGTCATTTTAAGTAATATAGTTCATAACCCCAATGTAACTAGGAATATAAGTAATGGCATTCCGAAGTGGAGCCTAGATAGAACCATGTAAGCACTAACCACATGAATCAATAATGGCATAAAGGGGGTGTTCGTACGTAAAACTGTATGTGGGGAATGCAACATTATCCAATAACTCACTCAATAATTTTTCATTGCACCATGGATCTCAAATGGATCTCAAAACAGAGAGAAACCATTGCTTTTAGATATAGTGAAAACAATATGGAACTTAATAGCCTTAGCCATCACTTTCAAATTTCCTAAAAGGGAGAAACATTTAAGCACCATATTTCCACAAAGAAATGTATTTATCCTTCTACCATCAGGCAATTAAACTTTTATAAGATAGTAAAAGACAAATCAAAGAGCAATTTAAGAATAAGAAAGAACACAAACTATATAAATGTTGATAAGATAAAAATTGTTCATTCCAAATTACTTTTTATTATGTTATTTGTGCTTGTAATTCTTGTATATTGTGCAAAAAAATATTAAAATTTTTTAAATTTGAACTAGAGCTGCAACGCCACGAATACCAACATCGTAGCGTTAGAACTCATTCGAGCACCGCAACACCATGTCAGAGAACTCTTAGAAAATCTGAAGAATCAATTGGAGAGCTTGGTGCCAAGGAGCTATCCATGAAGCACTGCAGCGCTACAAATGAGCACCACAACGAAGAATCGCCTAGCGTCACGACAATCAAACAAGCGAAATGACATGACATAATAGTGAATTGAAGCGAAGATTGGTGAATCGGTGCAACAGTTCAATAACACCACAACGCTATCAAGCCAGTGTCATCGCGCTATTCAGTTATTTGAGAAAATTATAAATAGCCTTATTTTTATGTGAGAAGGTTCGCTCATTGGGAGGTGTGTAGCATAGTATAGTGTCATGTTGTGTGAGTGCCTGAGAGTGTGGGTTATCTTGGGGATAGTGAAGCTTGTGTTCTTGTATCTGGAGTCATGTATTAAAGTGGAGCAAAGTGAAGAAGTGCAAAGGGCCTGTATTGTCTTTCCTGGACATTTATGAACTTTATTTACTATGTTTATCTTATTATCTCGTGTTTGTTAGCTTGTAACTTGTTTAACATTTAGTGAAATAAAATATATGCTTTTTTTGTTATGTGTAACACCGCCTCCACGTGTAGCTAAACAAATTCTCTAAATCTATAATGATTTGAAAAGCATGTATTGCTTGGAGTAGGTTTTATTTTGAAAATCATATAATAACTCTATATACATGCTATTTTTATTTTCTCCATGCTTAACTTGATTTATGTATAGGCCTTACACAAATTCAAAACATAGTATGATCTTGAGCCTCGACAGATGGACTAAATTAACAATTAGAGAGCTTAAAATATAGTTTGGCCATGCATATACATATGGTGGTTAGGGTTATTGGGTATTAAGGAGATACAATAAGTGTAGTTGAGTAGGATGCTAACGAGGAGCACTATTTGTAACAGCAGTTCTGTACATATCGTCCAGGCCGATCGAGGATCGTCCTGGGACGATCAGTTGTAATTTTGTTCCAGATTTTGTACAGAAGTTACAGGAATGATTTCCTGTAGGGATCGTCCGGGCCGATCTGGGATCATCCCGGGACGATCAGTTCATGGCAAAAGTCAGAGAGCAAGGGGTTTTTGAAAATTAATTATCGTCCTG